AAGCAACGTGGAATAGGTAGGCTTGCTTTAGGAGCTCACGGGAATACATCAAATCAGGGAGTACAAGGTGATATGTAATGGACATCATTTGAGGGCAGGGAAGCTAGCAGCAAGATAAAATTTGAGACGCGATTGAGAGAAATGGGGGAGGAGCGTTGGGCTAGGATGGTTTTCAGCTACTTGTACATGAGGAATGTCGATACAAAATGGAGGAAGCGAACCAGGAAATTGGCTGGTAAATACTTAGAAAACAGCAGGTGGCCAAACCAAAAAGAACTATCGGTTAAGAAGAAAGTGAAGGAAACGGATACTGACATGTGGAAAATTGGCATGATTAAAAAGTCCCCATTAGAGATCTATCGAACTTTTAAGCAGAAAATTGCCAAAAAAGGATCTATGATAATACTTGCGGTAGTTCTCTACTGTTTGAGGCCAGGACGGGAGTATTGCGAACCAAGACATATCGGGCCAAATACGAAGGGGTAGACACAGTATGCATTGCGTGTGAAGAGGAAGAAGAAACTGCCGAACACTTGATAATGTTCATTAAAAGGCTTCACCCTATAGTTCAGAATGATGGCGCAGAGTTTTTCAAAGCACTGGGGTTTAGGGACCGAGAGGGCAAAATAGACTTTGGCAGCGTCTCCTGCGCCGCAGCAGCCATCCCCACACAGAACTGGCTCCTGCGCCGCACGAAAGTGACGTCACTTTAAATATTATTACCTAAAGCTAATTAAATGTGCAAGCTATTCGTGCGTATTGCGTTAAACCTACAAAACTTTTATCAAAACGGTGTTTAACGAGTCAATTAGTGCAGGTTTGTTATTTAAATACAATTTACAAAAATTTTGAATACAGGGGGCGCCACGGGCGCTGCGGCTAAAGGTAAACACTGCGAGATAGTAGCCGCCTGCGATGTGTTGATGGTGAAAACTCCGATGAAGTCTTGGCCATGGCCTAGGCCACTCCCAAGGAGGACTGGAGTGTCGTCGCTGCTCCATGTGATTGCTGGATGCTTAGTTGAACCTGGTGGTTGGAGCTAGCGCGGCCGTCTACCGCGCCACAGCTTCATCTGAGTGTGTGCGCCATAAAGTTTCTCAGTATGATGTGCGGATTACAGTCGTTGGACGTACTGCATTTTCTAGATTGCAATGCCAAGCGTGGTGTTGTCAAAGGTGAAAGTGTTCTTGCTGCCGAGTTTTGCTGGTCGCGAAGGACAAGGTCGACGATGAAATAAATGCTTTCGCACGGTTCACGTGTGACTGACCGGACGCACATGCATGAAACCCCAGTGCGTCGGCGAAGTGTTCATACGATGGATGGAAACAACTTTATTGTAATGTTCTTACGAAGTCTGTGATCTCCGAAGGCCAGAGCTACTGCATTACTGTCTGTTTTGTCAAGTGCGAACACGTACGGCCGTTCTCATCCGTTGCTACGTGAATGCTCCCGTGCTGTCACAGGCCGCGCGTGTTTTTGAGCAACGCAGACAAGTAGTTAGATGGGCTAACGCCGTCGGCACTTGTCCTTGGGCATTGTTTATCAAGTGCTGATCGCCGAGAACATTGCGGTGACACGTCAGTATTTTTAAAGAAAGCGGCTTGCCGGTTACCTCGTCAGGTGATGGTACACTGAGCGACATAAAAAAAGTTGCCCAAGACTACGTTGCGGTGCACCTTTCTGTCATCAAGACTTTGATAAACCGTGGAAATCAACATTCCTGACACCTGTGCTGAAGAAACCAATGCAGCCAGCTGCATTCGAGTTTTTGTGGCTTTTTGCGTCTCGCCGATTAAGAGCACTAATTCACAAAATACTTTATCATAATAAATATAGTCAATCCTGCAAGCGTCATCGAAGATCCCATATTAAAGGGCCTGTGGACGGGACCACCACCAGCAGCAAGTTGGGCTGATGAGGAGGCGCAAATGTTAAAACAATACATGCGTGAACAAAAAAAAAAAGTATTGATGACTGCAATGAGATTTGAACCACCGACCTCACCAGCTCATGTGTTGCTGTAACCAACTACGCCACAGCTGCCAATCGGTTTGAGGTGACAAACAAGCCTATTTTGTATTGTTGTCACGCGAAACCTAAATAACATTTTTGTTCACTTTTTCGTTTGGACGTAATTTTAACGGCTTTTATTGTTATGTCTAGACGTACCGCTAGACACTCCCGACTATCCAAACAAAGCGCCTAACCGAAAAATGCAATACGTCACTTCCGTGCGGCGCAGCAGCCGTTTCTGTGTGGGGATGGCTTGTGCGCCGCGCGGCGCAGCAGTCTCTGCCATAGACGGCACTTTAGGCGGGTAGAATTAACTAGAAGAAGGTTAACTGATTGGTGGCTAAAGTCAGGGCACGAGTGAAAGTTAAGCCCTTCGCTGCAAAATACGAAATACGAATCCTCAACCTCACTATTTAAAGGAAAAAAAAGATAAATCTAATGATTAGTTCACTAAGTATTACGGCTAGATGACGCTAGCCGCCGCCCAATCCAAAGGGTACAGCCACATCCATCCATTCATCCATCCATCAAGATTTCCTCCTCCGGGCTCCAAATTTTTCGCGCGCAAACTGGTAGGTGTACCGTGTTCTGTGCGCGAGCATCGGGAGTCAGAGAATCACACGGGACAACGAATTGTAAGTGCGCATTTCTTTCCAGTCCGTCGGCTTCTTGCACTGGCGCCGAACGTTCACCTTTCGTTGCCCCTTTAGAACGCGATGCCGAAGAACGGGGTGGTGTGTTCGTGCGTGGTCCTGCCACGCCGACCCGTACCTCTCGAAGCCAACCCAAGGGGATCTAGCTCTCGCCGCGCGATCGGGCCCCTGTTGTCTCTTATCGCGAGAGCGCGCGGCATAGTCGCGAGGGCCCGTTTCCCTTAACGGTGTGTCACCACGAACCATTTTGCCCACGGAGGCGTGCTCGCGGCCCCCCTTTGTGTTGTACTTTTCGCCCGTGGCGTGGATAAGCCTCGTTTGCGTACCCGCCGACTTTTTTTTTTTTTTTGCCGAATCTGAATTTCATGATCCATTCTTTTTATCCTCACTTCATCTCCTGGGAAGGCGTGGAGGCTGATTTTTCTCGATGCTCTGTTTGTACACTACGGCACGCAGCACATAGGATTGCTTTTGAAGCCTTTAAATTTGGTCATTTGAGGGGGGGGGGGGGGGGGGCCGTGACAACGACTCAAAGAAAAAAAGCGAACATACCTCTGTAGCATCGCTGCCGCGGCGCCGCTACTCTTTGAAAAAAATTGTCCTGGTGGCCGGGGTGGGGGGTCATGACAGTCAACAGAACTTGCGAATGGGCTCTGTACTGTGTTTTTCATGTTGCCGCAGGCAATTGAGTGTTGTGACTTGTTTGAGAGCAGTACTCTGTTCTTGTCGCTCGGCTCCTTGGCTGTCCAAACGCACAAGCCACGCCATGAGAAGCTTTGCCACCTAAAAAATTTTGATATATGCCATAGTGGAGAGCTTGCAAGTGTACTTGTAATAGAAGCCACAAGAGAGTTTACAATCGGCTCTAGAAAGACTGCTCTCTCGCTGAGAGTTCACTGCATGTACCTCTCAGGATTGACGATTTGTTTGTTCTTTATTTTTTACATTGAATGGTGCTATAGACATGATGAAGCATTTGCCACAAGCCAAGCTTTGTATAAGCTATTGTACGGGTAACTGTTTCAACGTTTCGCCTAATTTGATGCTATCTAATAAGCCACAGCAAAGAACAATTATTCGCAAAAGTGGGGGCACTCATTCAGCAAACTTCTGAAATCATAACCATTACAAGAGCAATTACGGCAATTAAAATAAGCTTGGACATTTATATTTTCATCATCAGCAACAAAGAATTGCGCATCGATAAGTCCCTGCATGCGTGATGCATGTGCCGTTTTGTCTTGTGGCTTTCTGCGCAGACAGCCAATTTGCGTTAGCACGCCTATCAAAGTGAAGTTGTCATAGGAAGTCGAAAATAAGCGGGGAGTTGGATTTAAACAAGCTAATTAGAAGCTAGCCGTCAAAACACTAGCTCATGTGGGGCAGATTTTAGAAGGAGCATTAAAGATATGAGAAGCACTCCACTGCAAAATGCCCGAAGTACATGCTTCGTTATAAGGACTTGTATGGCACCCTAACGAAGTTATTGTCATCCTAAACATTTTTTCCCAATCTAGGGTTGAAAACCACACGGGTGCCCGGTTTGATACACTACACTGTTTCTTATAATCACTTCCTCCTTTCCCTCATATAAGCCACCTTCTGATAATTTTCTTACCATATTTCGTGGACATTAAATATCAGTTATTGATGCTGAGTGGGTAGAGGTAGAGCCGTATTGACATTAAATTGTGGTGCTGCTGTCTTGCTGTTGTAGTGCCCTCGTTTGGATGGCACGCAAAACAGTGTGTATGACCGCAAAAGAAAGAAAATAAAGATGGCGCTTGGCGGTGGCACGTGAAACCAAAGCTCGGGTTCCTTGCTGGCGTCGAGTGTTGACCAGGCGTCTTTTTTTCATTTACTCCTGTGCCGTAAGCCTACACTGTCTTGTTTTTAATAGCAAAGCTGTTCTTGGTTGAGGCTTTCATGTACAAGGACCATCATAAATTGTAGATCGTATTGGGGTTCATCCACAGACAGTGGTTCACTCCCACTTCGAATATGTGCCACTCGTGCACCACTCCTCAATACTCACGCTCACTACTTTCTCAACTGCCCACTACGCTCACTACTGCTCAGGCCCCTGCCTTTTTCATTCCCACTTTCTTTCATTTCATTCAACCCACTTTCTTTAAGCCCACTGCACGCTGCGAGCTTTGCTGTTTCATCAGTTTCCACCAAGCCGAGCAGCCTGATATTTTTTTTAGCACCATGACAGAGCTAAACTTGTTTTGTGCATGCGATATTTCTTTCATGCAATGTGTGCATGAAAAACTTCGGGAAACAATGTCTCTGCTTGCTAATTGATACTTGGTTATTTCATGGCCTTCACAGATGATTGAGAACACAGACACTGTTTTGGAGCTTGCAGTTCCCAGCAAAGGCAAGGATGAAGACTCAGCCTCTAATATACTAAGCGCTGCCGGCTTGGAAGAATACTCAGTTGCTTTGGCAGACAGCTACAGGTGAGCCTATATTTTGACGAGTTTCTATGGCTTAAATGGGCCTGCCTTTCATGGTGATGCTTCCAGAAAAAGGCAGACAGGGCTTCCTTTCTGGTTGATGAGCAATCAACGGTAGGCATTGCACGCATAGTGATGTTATGGCATGCGTCCTCCGTGCGATCGACATGGGCAGCTTGTTTCATCAATGCTTCAGCAGTGTTCCTCGCTATAGCGCTCACAAGATTTTGTACGCCTGCCTTTGCACAATCACTCTTGTGAAGCTAGCCTCAGGGTTCTTTTTTTTTTGAGAACTGTTCATAAAAGTTCTACCAAATTTACGTTGTACTGTAGCACTCACCGCCGGTGTAGACTTTGGGACCAAACCCACCACATTTGCAGCACGCACGAGCTGATCTATCAATCTAGCTCCGCAAAAGCCATTCCGTCGATTGTTTTACTGGGTATTCTTTGCGCAGAATCCCAGTAATGTTAGCCAGCACCACTCGTAACCATGGCGACGAACGTGGCACACTCGTTTTGAAAGCTGCATGGTGCCACCTAGCAACCATTGCAATGGCGATCATCTTAACTCATCGCTCAACACAGACATCACATTGTTTACAAGGACCAGTGATTTCGTGAGCCGTGATTACTTGTACAATGCCAACAACAGATAATGTCGGATGACTGGCAGCTAGCACTGACTATAGTTCCCAAGGTCTTCTTGAGGGCACTTGTTCACTAATTTTGGCTGCCAGTGCCTCACGAGAAAAAAACTGAACTGGCTTTTATTTCTTTTATGATCGGTGCACAAACTTCAAGATGATTGAATGCCACTGCCTTACGCTTGCTAATTGTGGAGTGGCAAGACTACTGCCCACAATAGTAGCGATACCTACAGCAATATGCTATAGACCTTATTCAAAATTACTGCCATCTGTCGGCCGTTGTGTGCATAGCCGTGATGTTAGAGGCTCCGCAAGGGGCATTACGCCTTACGTATACATAGAGGTATACGTGAGGCGTGTATTGGCTGATAATCGCAATGCCGTATATTGCTGCTTCTCTTGTATCACGCAGATAGGAACTTGGAATGCTGAAGCAAAAAAAAAAGGTAAGGCGTAAACTTTGTTCCTTGTTTTTTTTTTTCAAAGCTGATGGTGTTTCCAGCATAAGCTTCAGCAACTTCTCCCGAAATACATGCTTGCATTCTTCTTTCTATGTAAGTAAGATGTGCAATAGCATTTGTATTCGTGTTCCCAAAATTGCCGCACTTCCGAAGCAAGGCAGGTTTTGCAACGTTTTCGCTAGGAACCATTTACCAAGTGAAAGCGACTCTTATGTTTCATGCTAAAAACACCTTCACGCAACAAAGTTCATCGCAGCTAATTGCATGTGCTTACATTTCGTTGAATGTGTTTTGTTTATTATTACATTTGGGTAATGGTACATGCTGAATTAGAAGTAAGTGCACGTCATTGGTTCATTATAAGAAGGGAACAACAGCGCTAAAGTGCCCTTGTTTCGTGCTGTTTCGTTCTCTCTTCCGGATTGTTACAAGCAGCCATTTTGCTCAACACTGCGCAGACTTTTCAAGCATTAGATGTGCTCGACACATGTAACAAAATGCAGGCACATGCAGTTTATCGCAGTAAAGCTTGTTATGTAGATGTGGCTTCTGCGTAAAGCATACGAGTCATCTTCACTTACTAAACAGCTGCTAGCGAGAACATTGCAAAAACTGCCTTGATTAGGCATGCAGCAATTTGTGGGAACACAAGTAAAAGTGCTATTGCATGTCTTACTTGCATAGAAAGGAGAACGCAAACACATATTTCGGGAGCAGTAGCTGGAGCTCATGCTGGAAATGCCATCAGCTTGGAAAAAAAAAAAAAAAACAAGGGACAAAGTTTGCGACTTATCTTTTTTCCTTCAGCATCCTGAGTTCCTCTCTGTGTGCTGCAAGAGACGCAGCAATATGCTGGCATTGTGATTGTGAGCCAATACATGGCTCACGTCGAAACGCCTTACGTAAACGCACGCGGACCTGTGTGTACTGTGCTGCGTGGAGCCTCCAAAGTAGCGGTGTGTACGCGGCGGCCGACAGATGGCAGCAATTTTGCATAAGGTCTATAGCAGCATGTGGCGACTAATGGTTCATTCATGCATAAGTATTCCTTTCTCCCGATACTAGCTGCCTCGCTAGTTGCGCTTCTTTATTCATTCCCAATTTCTCAAATCACTGAGATACCCTAGAATGTCGCGTGCATATAGATTACAGTCCTGTAAAAAGAAAGTATGAATTGGAAGTCAGACTGTTAGAACTTGTGGCTACGACTGTGTACTTACCTGCGCAGCTTCCGTCTCGTCGCTGATTAGCCCGGGATGACACGGCCACTTGGTGCAACACATTTCTGATAAAAGACAGTGCCACCGCAGTTTAGCCAGCGGCTTACATCATCACTGCTGGCTATAAATTATAACCCAAGCTCAGTGCTCTGTTTGTTTACCTAGTCTTCTGAGCACAGCGCTGGCAGGCTTGTACCGCTGCAGCTATCTAGTTAATATTTCTTTTATGCTTGGATGCATCCTTCTCTCGACATGGCATCCCACAAGTTGTCTCCCTGCCACAAAGCAGGAAACACTAATGATTTAAAACTATGTTACTTGCAACGACTATGTAATTCCAGGAGAACCACTGAGTGCCTAACAGTCTAGTGGCATGTGGCGCTGCACATAGAAATTGCTGCATTCTCTGTTAATACTGAACCAGTTGTTTGTGCTGCCCTTGTTATAGGTTTTGTGCCGCAGCTGCCACAAGGTGCCACCAGTGCATGTGCCTTCGTAAGAGCTTGCTATTTTTTCACGTTTTTCAGTGGCCTGCACACGTCGGTTCTCACAGAGGTTTCTTGTCTCAAATATTCCCGTTCAGATTAATATTTCTTCGGTTTCGTTGCTGTCAGTATAAATGAAGGACTAGCTTTTGAAACCGAGGTACTTCAAAACTTGACTTCAAAAATCTTGTCTACTTTATTTCACATACGTGCTTCATTTGCACGTTTTACTGGAGCTTTACTGACCGATAATAGTAGTACGCTTGCATGTCTGTAGGAGTCCTGGCACCACTGGGGATGACAAAAGTGACAATTTGTGCGACCCGGACAACGAAGCCCTTGTCATCTGCGGTACGTATGTGAGGTAGTTCAGCTGCTATATGGTAGAGAGTGCCTATGCATGTCACTTGGAATTCGCCTGACCAGTTTCTGAAAAAAAAAAAAAAAAACTGGATCATTCCTGTTCAGCGCCGAACAACCATCTGTATTTGTTCGCACACAGACAGCAAGAACGGAAGCCCTGCCTTGCAACATCCTGTCGACAGCAGCCAGGCATTTGAAGGCAAGCCCAGTGAGAGCCGCATGACCATGGCTGAACCAGCGGGCAGTCTGGACATTGATGCAGGGTTAGTCGAAGGCTCACGAGAGCGCAAAGGCCACAAAGGCCATACTGTGTTGAAGCATAAGTATCAGCTATTCTTCCATTCATGAAATTGTCGTAATAGAGGCTGTGATGTCACTGTAACGTGATAGCGACTGGTTCATTTTACACTTAATATTGACATCATGGTAGCATGCTACCCTTAAAAATACCACACCAGCTTGACACCACTGCCTGTAGGAATGACTGGCACTTTGTTCCAACTCTCGGACTCGCGATTTCCACATCACATCGTAGTGTGACGACATTATTCTGGCCAAACTTATCACTATGCATGCCACATAAGTCAGCAAAGGACTGTAGTGCCGTATCAGTCGCGTCATTCCGTTTCAATAAAGTGTTGCATGCATAAAATCATAATTCGACTTGAATCGACCTTGATACTACACATCTGACCGTTGCGCTTTGCATGCCTGCAGGGTTCCTGAAAACTCTTTGTACGCTCTACAAAGCCTGACCGCCAGCATGCCTTCATACCAGGGTATGTGTTGAAATGCCTTTGGCTGCAAGAGTACAAGTGCTCTTTCCCATGCACATATTTGGAGGCCTTTTGTACAGCGCAGATTGAACGAGCGTCAAGCATAATCGTTATCCAGGGGCAAATATAATTGTATAATATGGCTCGTGACAACCTCATTAATTACATGCTTGCTTTAAGACTAATTGGGCCATTAGACTTGCAGAGGTTTAAGGCGGACCTATCTTCAAAGATGAGTTGTCAGTCCCGTCATTCTGCCTTGTCAACGTGCCAAGGATTTATACATTGCTCAGTCTTTTGCTAGTTGTGCTAAATCTCTTCACTTACATCACTTTACACTTTGAAGGTGTTAATGCCAAGTTTAGGCGCACAAAGCAGCCCTGCTGCGGTGGTCTAGCGGCTAAGGTACTCGGCTGCTGACCCGCAGGTCGCGGGTTCGTATCCCGCCTGCGGCGGCTGCATTTCCGATGGAGGCGGAAATTTAGGCCCGTGTGCTCAGATTTGGGTGTTTGTTAAAGAACCCCAGGGGGTCGAAATTTCCGGAGCCCTCCACTACGACGTCTCTCATAATCATATGGTAGTTTTGGGACGTTAAGCTTCACATATCAATCAATAGGCGCACAAAGCACGACGATTCAGATGAGACATTGCAGGAGGATTACTCGGCTTCAAACTTTTTTTTATCACTGAGTGCTCCAGCATCGAGCATTGTTGTCCAACAACAGCCAATCAACACATGGTATTTCAGATTGCACATACTTGGCAGGACAAGAGAGTAGCTGCGCGTCACTTCAGGCATTCGCAGCACCTCAAGCCGGTGATGCAGTTTCAAGCAGAAGTCACGCTGCAATGGAGGAAGTTTCACCTACTTCAGAAAACAACGCATCGTGAGTTTAACTTATGAAAAGTTGGGCTCAAAAAGCTGCTCGCCAAGTTTCCACGAACGTTGTCTGTGACTGAGTCATGCCAGAAATGAAAGGACATCTGCACGAGAGGAATGATTCTCTGTGTAAAATGTGATAAATTCATCCCTGTTTTCATCATGCGACATTTGCTTTAATGATGATCTCCCGTTCCGATTGACTGCAGTGGCAATCGTTAACAAATGAGCAGATCATTTGTATTTGTGATTCACAATGTTCAGCTATAGATGTCGGAACATATAAGCCTATTAGTTTTGTTCAAATTAACACGATGTGAAGACGTAGCAACCTCTGAGAAAAAGTGTAAATAACAATTAACGCTCACCAGAATTACAGTGAAGTTAGAAGAATAGTTGGTTTCTTGGGCATGTTGGTACGACCTGTTGGAGGGAAACAGCAGGCAAAGGACGCATATAACAACGCTGACTGGCAACAAAGTTTATTTGTGAAAGCACCCACTATATAACTCTCTGATGGAAAATAAAAGAAACAAGAATGACTTGAAAATAGATCAACATCGTCATAAAAAACATGCTCATTGGGTGTGCAGTCAACCTGATAAAAACACTGTAATTATCCGACACGTTAACAGAGGAGTCCCTGGAGATAAAAGGCCTTTATTTGTCCTCTTGGAAAATGAGGTTTGGGTTTTATCGAGTTGAGTGCATGTGCAATGAGCATGTTTTTGAGGGTGATTTTGACATTTCAAGTATTGTGGACTGTTATTTTTGTTTCTTTTCGTCTCAACTGCGCAGGTATCTATAGCGTGGTTTCATGAATAAAGCGAAGTTGAAAGTCAGCGCTGGTGTGTGTGTCCTTCGCTTCGTGTTTCTTTTGAGCTGTTTCTCTCCAATGCAGTGAACCAAAGCGCTTTTCTGGTAGAACATTTTATTAGTTACTCAAGGCTTTTACTGCTACAAACGTGCTGCTCTCTTAACGTAAGAGTAGCCAGTACTGAGCTTAGATTCGTTCATTTGGCGATTTGTAGGAATGCTACCGGACACAACAAAAGTAACCATCTGGATTACTCGGTTCTCGGCAGGGACGATGATCGCTCACAGGACTCCTCGGAGGACCTCTTCAAGTGTGAGACGTGTTGCAAATCCTTCATGTACTTCAATTTCCTCACGAGACACCGCCGAATGCATAAGGCCAAGACGCCCTACGAATACCAAACGTCCAGTAGAGAAATTGGGAAACAAGAGCAGCTTATCCTGCATCAACACACGCATACTGGGGACAGACCTGGCAACAGGTGAGCCTGTATTCTGACGAGTTTTTACGACCTAAATGGGCCTGCCTTTCATCGTGTGCCTGCCTTAGCGCAATCACTTCTATGAAGCCAGGCACAGGATTTGTTTTGGGAACTTTTTATAAAGTGTATACGAAATTTAGGCTGCGATGTAGTACTCACCGCCAGTCTGGACGTATAGGCCAAACACCACATTTGCAGCACGCGCGAACTGATACATCAACCTAGCTACGCTGCGACCATTCCGTCGCTTTCTTTATTGGGTATTGAGCACGTAGAATCCTAGTACAGTGAAATCTCAGTATAAAGAACTTCAGGGGACCTCAGAAATTTGTTTGCTAATTTGAAAGGTCGTTATAGCAAAAGCCCCAAAATTAGCCATAAGTACTTATTTTCCACTGACAAAAATGACTTACCTTTACAACGGTGGTTCCTTGAACTCGTTTTTCATGATAAAAAACAAATGCAAAAGTAAACACCAAAAAATGCACAATTCTTTGAAAAAGTGAGTTTTTTTTTTTTATGCGTGCAGCACGAAGACCTCCACCTCATCCACATTCTCCACTTTCTCCTTAGCCAAAACTTCTTCCGCTTCGTCGCAAGCAGAGATGAACTCATTGTAGTAGCACCGCAGTGTGAATGCTGACGTGCTTTGCAATTGCGATATGTAATCACCGAAAAGATGAACACGACTGACGAGGCCTCCTCAGAGAACAGCTATACCTGCTTGTACCCTTTTGGCGTCCTAGATGACATGTAGAAATGACGAAAATACGAAAAACCCGAAGCGTCCAGGTTGTAATCGTCTCTTCCGAAGAAAAGAAAGAACTGAAAAAAAAAAATTCCTCGTGTTTCGTTTTCTGCTTCCTCGCCGTGTCAGGTTTTCCGCGTTCATGTTTCCTGCTCGCCAACTACCACTCTGCCGTCTGCCTCGCTGACCTTGGCCTCTCGTGTTGCCGTCGCTTCTGTGCTTGTAAACCCGCAGCGTCGGCGTTTATATAAAAAGAAAGTCGTCCTTTAGTTTTTTTTTTCCTTCACACTGTCAGGCCTATTCTGAGAAGCAAGGCGTTCGTTCGCTGTGCCGTCTGCTTGGATACCGCTCTGGTGGTCGTGACGGATTTCAAACCATGAGTTCGTAGTACTCCGGCGTTAATATAATGCAGAAGTAAATTAGTGCTCGTTATTCTGAAAAGTTCCGTGTTCTGAAGTACGTAGTAGCGAAATAGTTTTACATTGAAACTATGAGCAGTCGGCGTAGGATTTTAAAACTTCGTTAATCTGAAAAGTTTGTTAAAATGGTGTTTAATCTACCGAGATTTTACTGTAATGTTGGCTAGCGTCACTTGTAACCATGGCGACGATGTGGTGCACTACTTTTGAACGCTGCCTGGTGCCACGTAGCATGCATTCCAATGGTGATTATCTTAACTCTTCCTTTGCTACATGCGAAACATGACTATAATTGCAGGGACCAGTGATTTCGTGCGCTGTAATTTTTTGCATAATGCCAACACCAGATAATGTCGAATGAATGGTGACTAGCACTGACCGTGGTTTCCAAGGTCTTCTGAAGGCACTTGTTCACTAAATTTGCCCACCAGTGCCTCACAAGAAATAAACTGGTCTCTTGAGTGCCGCACAAACTTCAAAATGATTGAATGCCACCGCCTAACGCTTGCTGACCGTGGAGTTGCAAGACTGTCCACAACCATAACGATACCTACAGCAATATGCATAGCGAGATGTAGCAACCGATAGCTCACCTGTGCAAGGTATTCCTTCCTCCGGATATTAGCTGCCTCGCTAATTGAACTTCCTTAGCCATCCCCAATTTCTCAAATGACTGAGGTGCACTTCAATGTCACGTGCATATATATTTCACTCCAGTAAAAATGAAGCATGAATTGGAAGTCGGGTACTGTCCCGTCTGGTTAAGTTGTCTTCCTGCTACTAATCAATAAACACTGATAATTAGAAGCTACACTACTTACGATGACTACGTAATGTCAGGGCGGCCACGGAGCACATAATAGGGGTAGCGGCATGTGGCGCTGGACATACAAATTGCCACATGCTATGTTAGTACAGGAACCTGTCGTTTGTGCTGTCTGTTATAGGCCTTGTGCCGCAGCTGTCACAAAGCGCCGCCATTGCATGCACCTCCGTGCATGCACCGGCATTTTCCAGTCGCGCACACGTCAGTTTTGATGGAGGCTTGTCGTCTCAAATATTTGCGTTCAGATAAATATTTCTTGGGTTTCTTTGTTGTCAGTATAAATCAGTCTAGCCCTTAAAACCCAGCTCCTGTTAGCTTAACTTCGAAAATTTGGTCAACTTATTTTTTTGCAAAAGTGTTTCATTTGCACGTTTTTGCCATAGCTTTACTGACCGATAATAGTAGTGCGCTTACGTGTCTGTAGGAGTCCTGGCAGCACTGAGGATGACCGAAGTCACAACGAGTGCGACCCAGACAATGAAGCCCTTACTATCTGCGGTACGTATGCCAGGTATTCCAGCTGCTATCGTAGAGCGTCACTTTGAATGTCTTTGCACGTCACTTTGAATGCGCATAACCAGATTTTTGAAGAAAACACATTTCTGTTCAGTGCCGAACAACCATCTGTATTTATTTGCACACAGATATGGACAAAAAAGGAAGCCCTGGCTTTCAACATCCTGTCGACAGCAGCCAGGCCTTTGAAGCGAAGCACAGTGAGAGCTGCACGACCAAGGATGAACCAGCGAGCACTCTGGGCAACGATGCAGGGTTAGTTGAACGTCCATGAGATTGCAAAGACCACAAAGGCTGTACTGTGTTGAAGCATAAGTATCAGCTATTCTTCCATTCATGACATTGTCTTTTTTATAGAGGCTGTGACGTCGCTTGTAACGTGATACCGAATGGTTCTTTCTCTGCTTAATATAATATTGATGCCATGCTAGCATGCTGCCCTTAAAATACCACACCAGTTTCACACCACTGCCTTTAGGAATGACTGGCGCTTTGTTCCAGCACTCGGATTATGGTGAACTTTCAATTTTCACTTCATGTTGTCCTGTGACTGTTAATCTGGCCAAACATATCACTATGCATGCCCCATAAGTCAGAAAATGACTGTATTGGCGTATCAGTCGCGTCATAATTTCCTCTTCTAAGAAGTGTTGCATCCATAAAACCATTTGCATATCCTACTTGAATTGGCTTTGATACCACACATCTCACCATTGGCCTTCCCTTGCCTGCAGGGTTCCTGAAATTGCTTCGTACGCCCTACGGAGCCCGACCGCATGCATTCCTTCATACCATGGTATGTGTGAAAATGCCTTTGACTGGAACAGTAAGGTACAAATGCTCTTACGCATGCACCCCATTGGAAGTCTTTTCTACAGTGCAGATTGAATTAGCGTCATTGATTATTGTTCTTTAGAAGCAGATCTAATTGCATAATATGGATCATTATAACCTCGTGCGATGCATGGTTGTTTTAACAGTAATTGGGGTATCAGAATTGCCGACGGACCTATCTTTCGGCAAACCTATCTTTGTCGAGGATTAGTTGTCAGTCTCGTCATTCTGCCTTGTCAGCGTGGCAAGGATTTATATATCGCTTGGTCATTCGGCCTTGTCAATGTGCCAAGAATTTATACATTGCTCGCTTTTCTGCAAGTAGTGCTAAAGCTCTTCACTGACATGACTTTACTCTTTCAAGTTGTTAATGCCAAGTTTAGGGGTACAAAGCACGATGTTTCAGATAAATCATTGCAGATGGGTTACTCGGCTTCAAACTTTTTCTTAGCACTGAATACTCCAGCATCGAGCATTATTGTCCAATAACGCCCAATTAACGTCTGCTATTTCAAAATGCACAGCCCAGGAAGAACAAAACAGTAGCTGCATGTCACTTCCGGTGCTCACAACACTGCGAGCTGGTGACGCAGTTTCGAGCACAAGTCACGCTGTAATGGAGGAAGTTTCACCTACTTTCGTAAACAACGCAAGGTGAGTGCAATTTTTGAAGAACTCTGCTCAAACGACCTGCTCGCAGAGTTTGCATGGAACAATGTCAGTGGCTGAATTATGCTCAAAATGAAAGAACACCTCCTCAAGAGGAAAGATTCAGCGTATATAATACAATTAATTCACTACTGTTCTCAGCATACGACATTTGTTCTAGCAACTATCTCGTGTTCCGGTTGACTGCATTGGCAATCGCTTACATAGCGCGTATTCATATTTGTGATACGCAATTTTCAGCCGTTGTCAGACCTTATACACTTCTTAACTTTGTTTAAATTAACATAACGTAATGTCATCACAACCTCTAAAAAAGTGTAAATGATGGTAAATGCTCATTAGAAATACAGTGAAGCTAAAATGATTGGTTGTTTGGGCATGTTGGTATGAATTGGAAGTTGGGAGCTGTCCCATCTGTTTGAGTTACCGTAATTACTCGAATCTAACGTGCACCTTTTTTCCGGTTAAGCGAGTTCATAAATCGCATGCGCGTTAGAATCGAGTACGAAAAAAAAAATGAATACGGTCGTTTTATTGACATCGGCATTCCGAAATGGCCGCCCCCTACGTGCGTCGGCATGGCGCGTCGGCCATTTCTGCCTATGTGCTTCCCATATGCGGCACTTCGTACGCGTGCTGAGGAGTTCGTCATCTTGGTGTGCATTAGCATCGACGGCATGGAAGGGCCGACTCCAAAAACTCGACGAGTGCACCACCGTGCCGCTTTTAAAAGAAAAGTCACCGCGTGTGCCGAAACGGACGTAAAGCGGGCTGCATCGCGGTCGTTTGGAGTTCCCGAAACGTGCGTGCGGGAGTGGCGGAAACAAAAGCAGAATATTGTCGACAGCAAAGCTTCACGCAAAGGCTTCAGTGGACCACAGCAAGGTCGGTTTCCGCAAATTAAAGAGCTGCTCGGCGAGTATGTGCTTGAGCAGCGAGCGGCACAGCGGCCCGTGACGACAGAACTGCTCCAAGTGCGGGCTATGCAGTTAGCCTTAGAATAGAAAAAGGGCTGATGCGGAGCCAGTTTAAAGCGAGGAGGGGCTGGCTAACTAACTTTATGAAGAGGAAAGGCTTTTCCCTTCGAAGGCGACCAGGCATATGCGAAAAGTTTTGCGGAGGAGTACGATGAAAAGCTTCACAGTTTTCAGAGGTTCGTCCTAAACTTGCGGCACAACAACGGCTACCTGCTTGGGCAAAACCGGGAATGCTGATCAGACGTCTCTTTACTTCAACATGCCTGGCACCACAACTGTCGAGAAGAAGGAGGTGAAGCAAGTTCGCGTGCCGACATCGGTCCACGGTAAAACTACAGTGACGGCAATGCTCTGTTACACGTCAGATGGGCACAAGCTTCGCCGTACTTCACATTTAAATGGAAGGCGCTCCCGAAAGGAGTCGTTTTTTCGAGTGGTGTGGTCGTGCGGGCCAGCGAGAAAAATTGGGTGCGCGTTGCAATCGATGTCTTACGTTTTTTTTTTTTTACTCGTGGAAATCGGGTGCGCGTTACAATCGAGGGCGCGGTAGAATCGAGTAAATACGGTATCTCCTTGCCACGAAACAGGAAACACTGATGATTGAAAGCTACGCTACTTGCAACGTCTACTTAATGTCAGAGCAACCACGGAACACCTAACCGTGGTAGCAGAATGTGGCACTGGACATAGAAAATGCCACATTTTCTGCTGGTTCGGGAACCTGTTGTTTCTGCTGTCCCTGTTGTAGGCCTTGTGCCGCAGCTGCCACAAGGCGTCGCCAGTGCATGTGCCTTTGTAAGAGCTTGCTATTTTTTCACGTTTTCCAGTGGTCTGCACACATCGAATCTGACAGAGGTTTCTCGTCTCAAATATTCCTGTTCAGACTAATATTTCTTCGGTTTCTTTGCTGTCAGTATAAATCAGACTAGCCTTTGAAACCGAGGTACTCTTGTCTGTTTATTTCGATATTGTTGTCTATTTATTTTGGCTACAAATTTTGTTTTCTATCTTATTTCACAAAAGTGTTTCATTTGCACGTTTTACTGGAGCTTTACTGACCGATAATAGTGGTACATTTGCGTGTCTGTAGGAGTCCTGGCAGCATTGGTGATGACAGAAATGACAATTTGTGCGATCCGGAAAACGAAGCCCCTGTCATTTTTGGTACGTATGCGAAGTAATTCAGCTGCTATATGGTAAAGAATGCCTATTAGCTTAGAATGCGCCTGACCAGTTTTTGAAAAAGAAGTAGAAAAACTGAAACGTTTCATTTCAGTGTCGAACGACCATCTGTATTTGTTTGCACACAGACAGCAAGAACAGAAGTCCTGCCTTGCAACATCGTGTAGACAGCAGCCAGGCCTTCGATGCCAAGCCCAGTGGTAGCGGCATGACCATGGACGAAGCAGTGGGTGATCTGGGCAATGATACAGGGTTAGTTTATGGTTCGAGAGATCGCACAGGCCACAAAGGCTGTACAGTGAAACCTCGATTATACGACTTTCAGGGGACCACGCAAAACCGTCGTATAATGCGGGCGTCGTATAATCCAAAAACTAAGGATATATAAGCAGTGACGATCATTGCTGCCCCACAACAGTCAGTACATAATGCCTGAGCAAGTCCGCAACGCAATACGGCGATACTCCGGTAAACGTAGATTAAATTACTTGAAAAAATGACAACCACGCATTTTATCGGAGGCGTGAACGAACCTTTATTCTCACCTCTTAAAAAAATCTGTAATTTTTTTCTGCGAGTTGGCCCAGCCACGACGCATCAGTTTCCTTTCGAGAGCTGCGACATCTTGCAGCAAGTCGCCGACCTCGTCGTATGCGCACGCAAACCGCCGAATGTTGTCGACGTAATCCAACACGTCCGTGTAAGTCGGTACGGAAGCGCTTGCCTCTGCGGTATCGTCCATCTCTTCTTCGTCGGAAGTTTCCGCAGAGTCGGGACGCACAGTTTCAATAATGTCATCCAGCGACACTGCACTGCACACAGCGACATCGTCGTCGGCACCAACATAGTCCGCGAACGATCCAGGCAGCTCCAGGCGCCCAAACTCGGGTTCGTCATCATCAAGCACTGCAGCCTCACTGAAACAGCCGCCACTTCTCGTAAAACCGCAGTGTCTGAAGGAGTTGGCGATAGTTTCCTGCGTGACCGCGTCCCATGCACTAGCGATGTAGTGCATTGCATCGAGCACAGAGAGCTTCGTGGCCATCTGCTTGCGTTCCATGCCCGCTAGCCGACGCTGAACCAGAAACTTCCTGTATTTCTGCTTCATGCATTTGATGACGCCGGCGTCAAGTGGCTGCAGCTGACTTGTGCAATTCGGGGGCAGAAATGCGACTTTTACATTCCTCAAATGCGACGTATCCGTTGGATGGCACGGCGCATTGTCCAGCAGAAGAAGAATTTTTCTGTCTTTAGCCCCCATTCTCGAGTCTAGCTGCTGCAGATATGCAGCAAACTTGGCAGCAGTCATCCAGGCTTTGCGGTTAAACGTGTACAGTGAAAGCTCGTTAATTCGCACCTCATTAATTCGAACTTTCGGGTTAACTCGAACTGATGGTCATGGTCCGGCCACAATGTATAGGCGTCTATGAGTTAACCAACTCGTTAGTTCATGCGCGCATCGGCTCCTCTATTGATAATTCGAACTGCGCGCCGCTGCGTGGTAGTATTTTTATGCTTCCGCCGCAAGCTTTTACGGCTCTACTATATATTGACACCATGCTAGCATGCTATCCTTAAAAATACCACACTAGCTTCACACCACTGCCTGTAGGAATGACTGGCATTTGTTCCACCACTCAGACTGTGGCGTTCTTTCAATTTTCACTTCACATTGTCCTGTGACCGGTAATCTGGCCAAACTTATAACTATGCATGCCCCATAAGTCAGGTGGTGCTGCTCTTCTGTAGCAAATGACAATGAACAAAGCCTTAATCTCCGCCATCCCAGAACGGAGCCTGCTGAAGGCGAGAAGAAGGTCAGATGGGCGGGTAGGTCAACAAGTTCTACAAGAGAGGGGAGGCCGGCTGACGTGCATGCTTGCGCAAGTTGCTGTGCGGGCGAGTCCATTAGTTCTATTGGTGTTCCTACACGCGTGTTGGCAAGCGGCTCCTGGGAAGCCCAAGGCGCGAGTTTTGAATTACCGCGGCCGTAATGCGAGTTAAATCGTCGCACGTTATAAGATATTGACAATCGACGTATACCAAAAAGATCAGTGAATGCTCATTGTGAACAAGAATGGTTTGTTATAACCATTGTGTAGAAATTCTCGCTTCGTTATAACGACGTTTTATATACGTTTGCATCTATGGAAATTTCAAGGTGAATTACTATTGCATCATTATATCCAATAGTTCGTTATGTCCCACTTCGTTATAATTGAGGTTTTACTGCATAGTCCTTGTGCCACAGCTGCCACAAGGCGTCGCCAGTGCATGTGCTTTTGTAAGAGCTTGTTATTTTTTTCAATATTTTCCAGTAGCCTGCACTTATCAGTTTTGACGGAGATTTCTCGTCTGCAATAATCCCGTTCAGATAATTATTTCTTAGGTTTCTTTGTTGTCAGTATAAATCAAGGACCAGCCTTTAAAACCCAGCTCCTGTAAGCTTACCGTAATTACTCAAATCTAACGCGCACCTTTTTTCTGGTTAAGCGAGTTCATAAATCGCATGCGCGTTAGAATCGAGTCCGAAAAAAAAAAATGAATACGGTCATTCTATTGCCATCGGCATATGCAAAATGGCCGCCCCCTACGTGCGTCGGCATGGCGCGTCGGCCATTTCTGCCTATGTGTTTCCCATGTGCGGCACTTCGTACGTGTGCTGAGGAGTTCGTCATCTTGTAGTGAATTAGCAAAGGCACTGCGCCGTGTCGCCTGTAGGCAGGCTGAAATTAGGTGCCTTCGTTCTTTTCCTCACGAACCACCAGTCAGTCTGCATTAGCATCGACGGCATGGAAGGGTTGACTCCAAAAACTCGAGTGCACCACGTTGGCGCTTTTAAAAGGAAAGTGATCGCATGCGCACAAACGGACGGAAATCGGGCCGCATCGCGGTCGTTCGGAGTTCCCGAAACGTGCGCGCTGGACTGGCGGAAACAAAAGCAGAAGATTGTCGACAGCAAAGCTTCACGCAAGTGCTTCAGTGGACCACAGCAGGGTCGGTTTTCCGCAAATTGAAGAGCTGCTCGGCGAGTATGTGCTTGAGCAGCGAGCGGCACAGCGGCCCGTGACGACAGAACTGCTCCAAGTGCGGGGTATGCAATTAGCCTTAGAAAAAGGTCTAATGCGGAGCCAGTTTAAAGCGAGCAGCAGGTGCTGGCTAACTAACTTTATGAAGAGAAAAGGCTTTTCCCTCCGAAGGCGAACGGGCATATGCAAAAAGTTTTGTGGAGGAGTACAATGAAAAGCTTCACAGTTTTCAGAGGTTCGTCCAAAAAAACTTGCGCGGCACAACAAAGGCTACCTGCTTAGGCAAATCGGCAATACCGATCAGACGCCTCTTTACTTCGACATGCCTGGCACTACAACCGTCGAGAAGGAGGGGGCAAAGCAAGTTCGCATGCTGACATCGGTTCACGGTAAAACTAGTGACGGCAATGCTCTGTTACACGTCAGAGGGGCACAAGCTTTCCCCGTACTTCATATTTAAATGAAAGACGCTCCCGAAAGGAGTCGTTTTTTCGAGTGGTGTGATCGTGCGGGCCAGCGAGAAAAATGGGTGCGTGTTGCAATCGATGTCTTACTTTTTTTTTTCGTCGTGGCATTTAAGTGTGCGTTACAATCGAGGGCGCGGTAGAATCGAGTAAATACGGTACCTTAGAAAATTTTTTCTTTTTTTCACAAAAGTGTTTCGCTTGCACGTACTGCTGAGCTTTACTGACAAAAAATTGTACGCTTGCGTGTCTGTAGGAGTCCTGGCAGCACTGAAGATGACCGAAGTCATGTCTCCGACTTGGACAATGAAGCACCTACCATCTGCGGTGTGTATGCAAGGCAGTTCAGCCGTTATGGTAGAGAGTGTCTATGCCCGCCACTTTGAATGTGCCTGACAAGTTATTTAAAAAAAACAGAGACATTTCCGTTGAGTGCCAAACAACCATCTGTATTTATTCGCACACAGACATGAACAAAGAAAGAAGCCCTGGCTTGCAACATCCTTTCGACAGCAGCCAGGCATTTGAAGGCAAACCCAGTAGGAGCTGCATGATCATGGATGAACCAGCGGGCACTCAGGACAATGATGCAGGGTTAGTCAAACGTTCATGAGATTGCAAAAGCCGCAAAGGTTGGACTGTGTTGAAGCATAAGTATCAGCTATTCTTCCATTCATAAAATTGTCGTCGTAGTAGAGGCTGTGATGTTGCTGTAACATTATAGTGCGTGGTTATTTTTACAGTTAATATAATATTATCGCCATGCTAGTATGCTGCCTCTATACATACCACACCAGCTTAACACCATTGCCTGTAGGAATGACAGGTGCTTTGTTCCAGCTCTCGGACTGTGGCGTATTTTCAGTTTTCGCTTCACATTCTTCAGTGACGCTATTCTGGCCAAACTTATCAGTATGCATGCCGCATGTGTCAGCAAATGACTGTATTAGCATATCAGTCGCGTCATAATTTCCTCTTCTAAAAGGGGTTGCATCCATAAAACCATTTGTAAGATCCTACTTGAATTGACCTTGATACTACACATCTAATAATTGCACTTTGCATGCCTGCAGAGTTCCTGAAAACTCTTCGTACGCCCTACAGAGTCCAACCGCCTGCACGCCTTCATGCCATGGTATGTGTTGTTTGAAAATGTCTTTAACCGGAACAGTAACAAAGAAATGCTCTTCCCCATGCATCCTATTGGAAGCCTTTTATACAGCGCAGTATGAATTAGTGTCACAAGTTATCGTTTTCGTGGGGTAAATCTAATTGTATACTACGGCTCGTTATAAACTCATGCGGTCCATTGTTGCCTTAAGGGGGACACCCCACTTGAAAAAAACTGTTTATTTATGGGCACATTTTAATCAAACTTGCATGCTTCCTGCATTTTGACATGCTGACTGGAAATATGCGATTAATTTTTCTCTTCAACAAGTACTTTTCAAAATATCGAGAAATTCGTGTTTTTTAATTGGCTAATTGGGAGTTAAAGTTTCCCTTTAATGCTGGCTGTGATCAAAGACATTGGTTTATGAAAATGATCTTGTGTTGTCAGAGCTTGAAGTCGTACATGAATGAATATTCTAGAGTGATTTGAGCCAGTGTCAGCATGTCAAACATTTGCAAGCAAAAGGCTTCAGTAACACATTGAAAATATGTATCATGTTATTTTGAAAACATGTACAGTAAAAGCTCGTTAATTCGACATCCGTTAATTCGAATAATTCGGACGGCTCTATTGGTCCCGGCCAAAGTGCATGTTAATCTATGGGACCAAACCTTCGTTATTTCGTCGGAATTCGGCTCCGCACCGCATAATTCGGACAAATGCTGATGGCTGCTGCTACACAAAAGTGTGATAAAGCAGCGCTGGCACCCCTGGAGTGAAACCGAAACCTGAGTGGCATCGCCATCATCATCAACTAGTGGGGGCGATCGCAGCGTCACCGAACGTCGGCATCTTCTTTCTTCTCCACTCAGTGCCTCCGACACCATTTTCCCTTGTGTTGTCGTGTCGGAACCATCTCTTCTGGCGGAGTTCTCTTTTTCTTCCATTGTGACCGTATTTGCATGCCACCACCATCGTGCGCTACAGTGATGGCAACGCCGAAAAAAGCGGCAGAACTACGATGCGAAGAACTTGGCGACTAAAGTGGAAATTTTGGAAGCACTGAAGAACGGCGAATCGCGACAGCAGGTTATGACCATACAACGTGAAGCGGAGCACGTTGGGAACGTACGTGAAAAATGAAAAACTGATTCGACAAGCCTTCGAAAGCGAGAAGTTTCATGCCTCTAGAAAGCAGTTGTGAACCGCAGCTCATCCCCAGCTCGAAGAAGCTTTGCTCCGGGGGATTACTGACTGTCGCAACACGCATCTGCCTTTGAGCGGACCTCTCATCATGGCGCAAGGTGAGAAGTACGCTGCGATAATGAACATTGAATCGTTCAAAGCGTCAGAGGGGTGGTTTGCGAGGTTTCGAGAGAGACACGAACTTGTCTTCAGGAGTGTGAAAGGCGAAAAGGCCAGTGTTGACGAAAGCGTGACCACCGAGTGGAGAAATGTGAAGCTTCTGGAGCACATCGCCGCATATGAACCACGTGACGTGTTCAATGCAGATGAAACTGCTCTATTTTTCAGAGCTCTGCCCGACAAGACGGTGACTTTCAAAGGGGACGCGTGCATTGGTGGCAAGAAGTGCAAGCAAAGGATAACTGTGCTTCCTGCCGCCAATATGACTGGCACGGAGCGCTTGCCACTACTTGTCGTCGGGAAGGCGCTTAAGCCACGTTGTTTTAAGGGGGGACGC